CGATTGGTTGATTCATTGATTATAGTGATTCAACTGTTGGGTGTCAACTGCCGAGGTCATTAGTCCCGCAAGTGTAGTGTATGGTTTTATCGTACGAGGTGGCGGTGATGTTTTCCTGCTGGATGGCGAGATCCGGCGCCGATCTACGTCGTCTAGCAGGTTTTTTTCCCTAACCAGGAATCTCCCACCAGCGGGGCACCACCTCAGCCTGGACAAGCTCTAAGCTCCCGACATATGTGACAGTGTAGAGCGTGTAAATGTGTGTAAGTATAGGCGAGGATAGGACAAAGATCGTGCGTTCGTGGCCCGTTTGTTAGAGTACTACTCCGGCATTTGCCTTGAGTTGAACGAAAAAAAAACAACAGGAAAACTACTGATTAGAAGAGCCGGCCGAGCTCTCCATCATTGTTTGAACTCAACCAAGCTATCCTGGTGCCGTTGAAAACCCTGCCACCTTCTGGACTCGAACCCTGCGATCTGCCGGTCAGAGACATTGCAGTGACATCAACTGATGCCCTAAGCCTCTCAAGCTAGTTTATTAGAGAAAGGAAGCAAATCTATCAATAGTAAAAAAATCTGCTTGTGCAAATAGTAAAAAAATTCCGATCTGCTCTGCTCATCTATCTACGTCCCGCCTCCACCGCAGCAATCACGCTCCGGCCTCCCCGCTTCGGCCCGCTCGCTGTGTGCGTCCGGCCTCGTCCCGCCCCTCGGCTCCTCTCTCCATCCCGTCACACCAATCCTCCGCCTCCGCCTGCCATGCCGTGTCCGGTCCCAACCATATTCCGCCTGTCGTCCCGCCCGCACCGCACCGCAACTTTGCGTTAAGCCAAAGCTGTACAAGAGGTAAAACTTCGCTTCTGTAGAGGATGCATTTTGAATAATCCTTTTTTTAGCGGTTATATACATCGTAACAGAAATATATATTCCCAATTTCACATTTATAGCTTCAGTAGTTTTGGCTCTATGATTTGGTTGATGTCTTGTAGTTTGTTGTCCTACGAGATAATTGGCAATGCAATGACAAAGACGGCGTTCAGGGAATTGTTGATGCAATACCGCATCCATACATAGCATGCATAGAAACACTATGTACATCCGTGCATAGAAATACAATTGAACGACAGTAAGTAAAATGAAAAGAAGTATGTCATGGGGTCAGTGATTTCGAGCGATGATATCGGATCCGAATTGCGATGACTTATAAACCTTTTCATAAAAAACGTTGAAAAGGAGGCCCTTACAAATTGCCCTGACTTTCCTCTATCGAAAACGCTATGCGTTCTTTGGATGCTGCTGCAGTCCACAGTAATGTTTTCTGAAATCACGTTTTTGTATACGTGGAAGATTATAATTTACGAACTCTCACATCTTATGATTATGTTTAGTTAACACTGCAATAACGGTCACCGTTCTGAGCGATTTGAAGCCTTTGCCATGTGAAGTTTACAATTACGTTTAATGTTTTTTTTTTTCAGTGTGCCTTAAGAAACATGTGAGAATAATTCTCCTCAAATTATTTACTTGAAGTCCCGCGAAAAAGACATTTAATTCAGGAGTGAGACCTAAATTAAGGAATGTCTAGAAAAATATATTTCATCATTCGCTTCCAGTAAAATTTAATAATGGGACTGCAAAGATATGCAATATAGTGGATGATAAAATTTATGGAGTTCGATAATCTTTTCCCTTATTCTAATTCGTCCTAATTGGAGAAGAGAGACGAAAGATAGGCCCCCCTTCCTAATCCCTGCTTAATTCTTTGCGTAGGTATTAGGAAGTTCTACAATATATTTTCAACCTCCCTATCAGTCCTGGACTCGAATTTAAGAAATTGATTTTAGAATGGGGCGTTGGTGATAATGTACAAGAAGAAACTAATTGAGTAAATGTGCAATGTATTATAGATCGCGTAATATTATTTTCATGGCACAACATTAACAAGAAATGTTTCAATAAACAAACGTCCATTACATGGCGTTAACTACAGAGTCAATGGCATTTCAATTTTAGGGATATAGACAACAAATTTCGTTATCGAAATATTAGTACCCAATTGTCAGAGAAAGTAGCTCCGTTGCACAAGTAAACCTAGAACAAACTACTCGATCATAATAAAAGATAATATTCGTAATAATTTGTGAGAGTTTGAAATAAAGTATGACAGTTTGTAAACCTAGATTTCCAATCGTGCTAAGGAATAATATATACCAATCTTCATATGCAATATACATGATTTACCGTAAATTATATAAAAAAAAGTACGGAAAGAAGTTTTAACAGTAACTTTTCGTAATTCTAAATAACTGCTTCAGCACAAGCCTGAAGATCGAGCTGCATATACCCGTTATATTTACTACGTAGGGTGTACGTTTGTTGTGTTTTCGCGATACAACATAATAACTTCAAATTATTCCATGCAAAGTACAGGGCAAGATAATACAGTCACACTTCTCACATTATTACTGATATCAATATTATTTTAATAAATATACTAATTACTTACTAGTAATAGTATATCACATTAAAAAAAGTAATTAACAATTAATAGGTGAAATTTAAAATGTTCTCATATATATAAATAATTTGTAATTATGTAATTGTTATTGTGGATCAGGAAATGTTTGTATGCGAGTTCACGAGAAGTAAATTGCAAAAAATTAAATTGGAATGAATGAATTAATTTAATTAAATTTCAATTAAGTTAAATTGAAGTCTATCGCTCACCTGGGGAGTGCAGGCGCGCCTCCGCGCTGCCTGGCCGCCAGCTCCTCTGCCATGCGCGCGCCTGCAACCCAACACGCGCATACGTCACATTCCTAGTTATGAACCCCTGCATTTCATTTGGTTTACTGCATGTGACGTATAGGGGAGAAGTACAATCTGCGCACGTTTTCTTGAGCTCTGGAATCCCTTCCACAACTTTTAACCCTAAACAGTTGAATGTTGAATAAAAGTACCAACAAAGCAAGGTTAGTAACATTTGAACATAGAACATTGTTTGCATTGGTAAACGAAGTACAGAATTGGGTTGTTAGTATTTATAAGAAAGTAGTAACCAATACCCCCAGCTCTACGACTAGTGAAAGGAGATCTCAACTAAACGTGCGCATAGAGAAGCTTCATTCATATTTAGAGGCAAAACAGGAGATCATCTGAGCATTCGCTCAACGGTACTGGGACAAAAACATGATCGATAAGGGGGTGAAATGTTCAACACCTTTCGCACCCTGTAAGAAAACATGCCACAATTTAAAATCGGGAATAGTTTTAGATATATAAATGACATCAGCTAACTCCATAGAATTGTATATCAGTGTAAAATATTGAAATTTTAATCGTACAGGCAACTGAATCACTTAAATTAGTCTTCCCACAGTCTCAAATTAAGTTGTTATCTATCAATTCTTCCTGGCAGTCGTATGTTGTACACCGTAGTAATTCAATTAAAGAAATACTAGTATGATATAAAACTCTGAAAATAATTTTTGAGGATGTAATACTACCAAATCTGAAAATAACAATTTAACGGAATTTTATTTTCTGGTTTATTTCTTTCCTAAATCTCTTAAATTGTCCTTATGTATTGTATAAGCATTTTGATCTACAAAATTCACGAATAAGTACCAAATAATTTAACTTCTTTATTTATATGTTGCCAAGAGAGATTTGTTGACGATGAAGATTATTTCATAATTACGATATAACAACAAACTGTTGGAAACTTTCGTTTTATAAGAATTGCCCTTTTTCGCTCGGTAAACATGCGAGTTCCACGGCAACACGTCCACACTCTGCGTAAGACGGCGGGCAAGGGGGTGGAGGTGGGCGTGTCCTTCGTGTGGCGGCGGTTGCGGAAGGGGGAGGAAGGCGGGGGGGCGAGCCGGCTCGCCCCCATTTCGAGCACGCGCACTCGCCATCGACCGACAAACTCGCCCCGCTCCTCCCCGCTCCCCCCTCCATGCTCTTCCCCGCACCCGTGATATTGCCCCGCTTGCCTCCCCTCGCTCCAAGTTGGCCCGCTAACCACTCGCGCGACTTTGTTAGTTCTTCGAGTTTCGTAATATCGTCGAGGGGCGTACGTCGCTGCTTAGCGCCAGAGAATTATAGCGGAACGACAGGTGCCTGGGCGCACTGAGGCGGGGTGGCAGTGGTAGTAGCGATGGAGTGGCGGTGGCGGTGACAGTGGCGTTAGCGATGGCAAAGGCTGAGGCGGTGGTAGTGGTGGCGGAGGAGAAGGTGTGGGGCTGCGGGGCAGTGGCGGTGGTGCCAGTGGTGGTGGGAGTGGCGGTAGCGGCGATAGGGGCAATGTCGGCAGACGCGGTAGTGGCGGTGGCGGCTGTTAATAATGAATGACTGGGGTTGATCACAAAGGCGTGTCTGTCTCGGAGACTTCCATTTCGAGGCGATGCTTCCCTAACTCGTTGTTTGCGCTAGGCACACTCTCTACCGGTAAAAGCTTCCCGGATGGCGCGTCTCCGTTAAGAAGCGCTAGACAGGGAAGTGTCTGCATAACGCTGATTGAGCTCGAAGTTGGCGCCTTGTGTGCCTACGCCTAACAAATAACGACTTCCGGTTGTCGCGAAATTATTGATGAAGACTGTAAAGTATTTGTTTATACACGAATAATAAAATGCTATATAATACTCCAAGAATGTAATTGTTAATTTGCGATTATTTTTTACTTTTCGTACTAGTTAATGCGAAAGAAATAATTGTGCGTTATTTCCGGTCAGAACAAGACATGAATTTTGTTAATTTTTTTCAGTCAATTTGTACATGAAGCATACAATCGTTTTCTGCTCTGTATCTATACGGTCTGCAGATTTTCTTTAAAATAAAATTTCGAGAAAATACCGTCTAGGGTGCCTCAATGATAACTTTGAACGCGGGAGAAACGTCCGCCATTCATTGATGAAGCATAGCAAATTTATTTTTGGCAAACAATTTAAATGTTATTCACAAGAGCTGGCAGTATTAAATTAAATTTAACAGCATTATTTCTAATACATAATTTTTTGTCGTCATTGATGTATCACCGTTAAACATTAATTTTATTACATTTTTACTTTAAAGAAAACATTCTACTTTTCGAAACAATTCACCATTCTATGGTGTGTGCCCAGTATTCACCAAAACACAAGCGCACGCAACGCAACAGCGAGTACTCACAGTAGGCCTTGTCGCGGCGCGGCACGACGCAGCAGCGCCACACGACGGCGGCGGCGAGCAGCAGCAGCAGGAGGGCGCCGCCGCACACGGTGCCCACGAGCAGCGGCAGGTACTCGGCCGGCACGCGCCACGCGCCCCAGCGCCAGCCGCCCGCGCCCGCGCCGCCGCTCGGCGCCGCC